TGATGATTTTCTTCATCTGAAGCAATCCAAATGTCCACAAGAAGACCAATTCAGGCATCCACCGGCGGACAAATCGACTGTTACAAGCTGATTCACTGAACTATCCAACGGTTTGGTTTTAGGAATTTCCAACATTCGGACGTCCACAAGATATGCAATCTGGACGTCTGCAAGCCTCTAATCTTAAAAAATCTTTGGGTATAAGTAGATATTTTTATGATTTTATCTAACATTGTTATAATATTTACCTAATTGAAAAACTCATGATACACTCTCCAACCTCCATAACACTTCCATGCATGATTTATTTGATTTTAATGCAGTTTAAAATATAAATCATTTTTGTCCTTTATTGATATTGGTTATTATGATCATATTTCACTTGAAGACATAAGACAAACCTAAGGTGCCATTTACTAAATGCTTATCGGGGTAAACGCTTACCAAGTCAATTTATTTTATCGGATGAATATGACAAATACTAAAGGGCCGTTTACTAAACGTTTACTTGGTAAGTACTTATTGAATAAATTTACTCATCGAATGAACATAACAAGGGTCAAGAATCTTACCGGGTAAGAGCAATGAGAAAGATGGAAAGTCTTACCCGGTAAGTGCTTACCCGGTAAATTGTTGCATTCGATACGTTTTGATGTACTAAAATCTTACGTATCAAAGTAAATTATAGTGTTGATTTTTATTGGTAAATACTTACTGGGTAAGCATTTGGGTAAACAGCCCCTAAGAATCTTACCCGGTAAGAACGAAAGCAAGAATCGAGAGTCTTACCCGGTAAGTGAGGACAAGGATTCCTACCATGGTTAGAGCTTACCGGGATAAATTGTTGCATACGATGTGTTTTAATGAATAAAATCTTGTCCGGTAACTAAGCAATATTGTTGAATTTTACCGGTAAATACTTACCGGGTAAGTGTTTAAATAAACGGTCCCTAAGTGAAAAAGTTGGGCCAAGGTCGATCACAGATGACTTAACGTCCACCGTAAAAATGTTCAAATGCTTAGTGATTGAGCATTAAAATAATCAACCAATTTCTACCAATCATTCTCAGCCAATAATCCACGATTGAAGTATTTTTTTTTTACTAGATAAAATTGACATGTGACATTTGTTTATTGATTGGTTTATTTTTTTAAATAAAACTTATTTTAATTATATATATATATATATATATATACCAAAATTCATAGTTTTCAAGTTCCTATAAAACACACTATTGATATATTTTCATACTTACTTTTATGACTTATCTTATTTCATTTTAATTGTATGATAAGTTTTTTGTGGTTATAGTTACGTTTTAAAATGTGCAATAATTTGTTTAAATTATTTTTTATATTTAAAACTAAAAAGTAATTATTATATATGCTAAAAAATAAAATATATATTTTTTATAAAATTATATTTTAGATTCAATTGAATCATCATTAAATTAAAAAAAATGAAATTAAATTGAAATTGAAGATCGTATAAATAGACGAGAAAGAAAATAATATTTTAATTAAGATTTGGTTAAAAGAATTTGTGAATCAAGAGAGATACCTTCAGATCTCACATACTATTACTTTTGTTTCCCTATATCCTAATGATTGGACTAATTACAAACTGGTCCCTCAGCTATTGGTTTTTTCACTTCTATCAACACTTCGAACAATTCATTTGGCAATTACAAAGATCTATCTTTTTTAAGAAAAGAATTAATGAATAAGAAACCGTATTACAGCTCAACAAATTTTAACTAATAAATAAGAACTTGTTATAACAAACTCATACCAGATAAATGTTTAGTAGGAGTCAGTTATAATACCGGGTGAATATGACAAGAACCGAGAATCTTGTTTGGTAAGAAACATATCAAGAATCGAGAATCTTACCTAGTTAGGTTTACCAGGTAAGGGATGCTTACCAACAACACATTTTGGTTGTTAAATTAGCGTATATTAACTATTTTTATATTGTCATTATTAATAAATATAGTAAAAAGATATTTACTAATCCCTATAGTCGATCGCGATAAACCAGTACTTAGCCAATCCAATTGAAAATTCTCATAATTGGTCTGAACCAACTAATTCCTTCTTGGTCGGTCTCAACATGTCTCAGGCCGGTCCAATCCCCTTTAATCGGTTTCAAACATCCATCTCTATGCCATACATTTTTAGTTAACTAGAAGCGTACTCGTGCAATGCAGCGAGATACATCATGATTTTAATATTTCATTTTCTTCTTTATCTCAGTCGATATTATAATATGGTTTTATGTGATTTTGAGAAAGCGATAATGTTTTTATTTTTGAATAAAATATATGTTTAAATATATCATAAAAATTTGACAAAAATATATCGATATTGGTATCAAATTAACTATTTGAAATTCCTCATTTCTTTGTGTAAATTTTTAATTCAATTTTTTTATAATTTAATTTATGTACAATAACGAAATAATTTATATTTGGTTTAATAATATAATTTTTTTATAAAGATAATAATTATTTATTTTATTGGAACTCGATAATTATTCTAATTATATTTTAGATTTTTTATATTTTAA